AAAACACCTTCAGCTTCGCGCTAAAAACTTCTGGGGGCTATAGTGACGTCGCAGTGGTTAAGACCATTCGCTGCTCTTCCAGAAGACCTAGGTTCAATTCCCAGCACCCACATGGCACCTCACAAACTGTAACTCCAGTTCCAGGGAAACTGATACCCTCACATTGACATTCATACAGGCAAAAAAAGAAAAAGAAAAAAAATGCACATAAGATAAAAATCAATAAATCACTAAAAAATACTAAAAAACAAAAAGAAAATATGGAAAAGGTGTGAACTTAGTCATAGGATAGTCCTAAGTTTCAACTCCTGGAGTCTTTTATGCTCATTTGCCTATGGAAGGCGGAGTATGTGGCGTTTCGTTGGGCATAGAGGATTCTGTGTGGGGCAGCATTTTTATGTTTTCTAATGTGAGGGGGGAATAGCACTAACCTAGGGTGATTATCTCACTTACAGATAGCACTTCTGATTGTAAACCCCAAGGCAAAGACTTTAGATGGGAAAACGAATAGAGCGGACCGCCAGCCTGTGCTTTGCGCATCTCTGGCCTTAGTGGCGTGGCCATTTCTCTGTGTGGGTGATAACCTTGGTATGTAGGTCAGGAGGGTGATTGTGAGATGTCGCAGGGTCTGTGCCAACTGGCAAATAATGGTCCAGTCGTTGCTTTCCGCCACCCTCTGCACACCGAGGAGGCCCTAACCTCTTCCCAGAACCGTCTTTGCTTCCGCCTGTAAATGCCGTCAATTCTTAGGAATGTCAGACTAATAGTATTTGCTGCTGCCAGGTTATGGAAATGCCTTGGGTATCTGGAGCAGGATCTGTCACGTCTTAGGGTGGCTTTGGGTTCAGATAGTGTGGCCAAACCTTTGATTTGCCTCAAAAGAAATGAACTTTGCTTTCTGCTTCAGAACTCCTGGGAAAGCACCCCCCCCAAAAAAAAAAAAAAAAAAAAACAAAACACCAAAAACAAACAGACAAAAAAAGAAAAATAATGCAAAACTTTTGACAGTCATCCTGAAAGGCCAATATCAAAATTTAAGAAGCCTTTCCCTCCCATTTCTGTGCTTTCCTTCTTCAAATTTGACTTTCTTGTTGTGGAGACACCCCCCCCCCCCCCCCCCACACACACACACAGTGCTGATGCTGTGTGGACCTGATCCTGATTTATTTGGTGCGGTTAGACTTGGATTCAGCCCCTCACCTCTTCTGCTACACGTTTCTTCCACAGAAGTGGGTATAGTGCGCATGTGCACTGGTTCAGAGTTGCGGCTGTCTCTCCATGGTGTCCATCTTCCAGTGGCCATTGTGTTAAACAGCTAAGAAGCAGGTAATTGGGCCACATTCTGAAGGCCAGCCAGTGTTTATGCTGTCCAGTTCCAAGGAGTTAACACTTAAACAGAGCATGGAAGGAATGTTTGGCAACACAGTCCCCCTGTGTCCTCCAGGGTCTGCTCATGACTGCTGTTGCACTTGACTGAGTCACACTGGGTGATCTGGAAACCATCCTTGCTCTCCCTACATATATGTTGGCTGTTTCAATGGGGAGTTAAGAATTAATGGCAAGTGAATCTCTTCCATGGCCTACTAAGATAATTTTTTCAAAATTCGGCCCTGTACTCTTGTATTGGGAAAACTTAGGGATGTTGTTAGTTACACACAGACTCTTTCTCCTTTGTAGACCTAAAGGTCATTGGGATGAAGGACTCAGGATGAGCATGGCTGCCAGTGGTTACAGAAATTACTTCTCCATAAGGAAAACCGTAGTGCTTCAGAAGGCAACCGTCTTTGACGTGTTAACTATTGTAAACGTTCGCTGACTGATTTCAATTAAAAATCAACTTAGGGAGAATTTGTTCTTTTGGCCCAGCACTATGCTAGCCACGGAGAGGAATCAGTTTTGGACAGTGAGGCCTCTGCCATCAAGGGATTAATATGCTACTTGGAACTAAAGCCGTACAGTGTATCTGGGCAAACGTATATATGTAGACCACGTAACTATTTTTCTTTAATAACTAGGATTGGCAGATTTCAGGGATGAGGGGTACCCTAGTGATACCACAGCTTCTAAAGGACAGTGCTTGGCCAACGACTTCGAAAATCAAGCTCTCTAGAATTGTGGGGAAAGCGCTCTGCCTCTAGAGTTAAAGGCTTACAGTGCTGTGTTCAAGTCTGACCTTAATGAAGTAGGAGACAATAGTTACTTGCAGGGGGGAGAAGTTATTAGTTAGAATGAAACTTATTTTAAACGTATTCACTAATTTAAGTTATTTAAGCTCATATATGTGTAAACGTGTGTATAAATGTTTATGTAGGGGGTTTTAGTCCTTCAAAAGGTGTCGAAACCTTTAGCACACAATTCTCCAGTTTCTCCAGATTTTCTTCTACAGGCTATGTGACACTAATATGCCTGGGTGCCTTGGCTATGTATTCTGTCTGTTTAATATTTTCTCTTACTTTCTAGGAAGCCTGAAGGAAGGGCCAAGAAAGTGTGTTATTGAAGTTGTCCTGTAATTAGTGTGATAAGATGATCTTTATGTAATATGGGGCAGAAAGGAGTCCTCAGCTTACCTCAGAGCCCTAGACAGCCGCCTTTTGCTTGCCTGTTACTAAGAACTCACTGCAGAGTCAGATTGTATTTAGGGTGTGGAAGCAGTCCCTGTGTGGCTTGGGGGCTGTCTTTATGGTCCGAGTGTGGCTGCTCATTTGGTAAGGAATTGGTGTGATTAGCAGACTGTGGTGCCTCTGTTGAGTCTGTTGGGCCTGATCCATGCTGAGGGGTGAACCCAGAACTGGACAGAAGCTACGGGCTACCTTAGGAGGCTTTGCTGCTGAAGAAAGTCTGGCTTCAGGCTGAGGGACTTGGAACTGTTAGAGTAATCCTGTCACTTGGTAAGCAACCAGGACATGGTAGCCATTGCTGCTAGTAGTATTGGAGCCCTAGACATTTGAATTTCAGGTCAGAAACTCTTCATGAGGGAGTTTATCATCTAATTCATCTTATTGACCCTTGGCTAGAGGTTCTGGGAGTCTTTCTTTCTTCCCCACTCCCCAGTATTTCTTTTTAAATCTTAATTCTTGGTTTATGTTATTTTCCTTGTAAGTCTCTCTCTCTCTAAGAAGACTTGAGGGTTGAAATTTTTATTTTATTGTCCTTACCATGGTCATCCTGAGGTTTTATTTTTTCCCTCACCATTTATAAAATTTATGTTCAGCATAATTTTGATTTTTATTACCCTCTCTGTGCAAACACACACAACTGTATGCTGATGGTGGCTTTACTATTTTCGTGACAAGTAAAATTTTTCTGGAACCTTTAAAAACATGAAATGAAAATTTTGTGGGCATAATGAGGAGGAATTAGGAAATTTGGGGGAAGCAGTAGAAACAAGTACAAGGGATTTTGGCACCCCTGAGAGAACTCCAGCACTTTTCTCTTTTTCTTTTGCTTCCTTCATAAAGGAGGAAGAGAAGGAACCAGGCTTATTTTGTTTATAAAAATGAGCACCTTTGACAGGTGTATTAAAACAGGTAAAAAAAATAAGGATAAAACTCACTAGTATACTTATTTGTTTTCCCTTCACCCTTTAAAGGCACATTTTCCTTATTGATAGAGACAAGTAAATAAAATAATGCTTTATTTAGAAAAATAATTTTCATATTATTTTGTGTGAGTCTTTTTATACTGGGGTGTGTGTGTGCATGCTTGTGTGCGTGCTAGTGTGTGTATGTGTGTGTGTGTGTGTGTCTGTGTGTGTGCGTGTTCACTCTCGTGTGTGTGTACATGTACACAACCATTCTGCTTCTCTCCTCCAATGCTAAGCAAAGACTCTACAAATTAGTGAGCTCCCAGCCCCCTTTTCTAAGGATGAGCAGAGACAAGTAGAGACCAGTACATTGAGTAGTACAACTTGAAATGGAATTATTTGAACATTTTAAGAACTTCTGTCAAGCACCCCATCTCAAAAAATAACTAACTAACTAACTAACTAACTAACTAACTAACTAACTAACTAACTAACTAACTAACTAAAGCTGGGCAATGGGCAGCACTCGCCTTTAATCTCAGCACTCAGGAGGTAGAGGCACAAGGATCTCTGAGTTCAAGACCAGCCTAGAGTGAATTCCATGACAGCCAGGGCTACACAGCGAAACCCTGTCTTGTAGTTTGTGGAAGAATTAATGTAAAAAACTCAGACTGCTTGCCGGCTTTTACCACAATAGCAGCTTGAGGGATTCATAACCGACTCCAGCTCAGAGGGAGTCTTGGGTTTTGAGAATGTGCTTCAGCGTTTTACCAGGGTCCAGATCTTCTAAAAACTTGACTTTTATTTGTCTTGTTTACATTAAATGTTTGTTATGCACGTATGGGTTTCTGCTACTGTATTGGATACTTTTCAGTTGCTGTGATAAAATACCATGTATAGAAGCAGTCTCAGAAGAAAGTTTATTTTGGCTGATGATCTCAGGGGGATAGTCTTGGGGAAAGGCATGACTGCAGACAGCAAGAGCAAGAAGCTTCCTGGCCACATTTATTTTCAAACAGGGGCAGTAGAAAAGGGGAGAGGAAATAAGGATAAGATAGAAACCCTCACAGCCACCTCCACTGACACACTCCTCTACACAAGGCTCCGTCTCTAAAAAGCTCAGGAAGTTCCCCACGAAGTGTCACCAGTGGGGGACCAGGTGAGCCTGTGAGGGACATTTCCCACTCAAACCACCATGGCCACGAAAGATTAAATCCTGTCTTCTGTATAGAAAACAGTCACCATATGTTGAGACAAAACAGATGCGATAACATTTAGCTTTTTACTCGACTACTGAGGTCATTAACTTTAATATCTCAGCTGTTCCCAGGAATATTCTGGCTTTTGTTTCTTCCAGTTTTGTGCTATAGGCATTCAAGTTGAGTTACTTTTTAACGAGAAGGCGAAAGGCCTACTTGAATTCATCTAAGAAAGAACCCGACTTCCCTTATTTTAATCACCATTTATTCTTTTTCAGAGGATGTTAAACAAGTTTTTGGACAGACTACAATTCATCAACATATTCCATTTAACTGGGATTCAGAATTTGTGCAACTGCATTTTGGAAAAGAAAGAAAAAGACACCTTACGTATGCAGAGTTTACTCAGTTTTTGCTGGTGGGTCTAATTCTTCTTCTTCTTCTTTTTTTTTTTTTTTTTTTTTTTTTTTAATTATCTGGTATTTCCACCCTGAATTATTTTTCTTACAGTCCTGGAAATATTTTTATATCAAAGGTCTTATTTGTATTTTTGTTCTGCTAATATATGTACGTATTTTAATGATTTTAATTTATGTGTGGGTGTTTGTCTACATGCCTGTGCAACCACATGCAGGGTTTGAGGAGGCCAGAAGAGGGCATTAGATCCTCTGAGACTGGAGTGAGATATGGATGGGTGTGAGCTAGTGGCCATGTAAGTGCTAGGAATCGAACCTGGGTCCTCCAGGAGAACAACCATCTCTCCTGATCCTGGACTCTTACATTTGTAAAAAGAGAAAAAGACAAAAAGGAAAAAGGGATAAGTATAAGCTGGGATTCTCGCTTTTGCCCCCAAGCCTGATCCACCACAGGTTTGTAAGGCTGGAAATATAAAGTATTACTTTTTCAGTTTTGTAGAATTGTATTAATTGTAGAATTACATGGGCTCTTAAAAGATTTTGTAGAACCTCTGACTGTTTGAGAGTAAGAAAATGATCCCCTCAGGGTTGCAAGGTCAAAAGGCAAAATCTTAGGGCTGGAGAGATGGCTCAGTGGTTCAGAGCATTTGTTTTCTGGCAGCATTCAGAATTGCAGTTGGGATTTGTGCCTGGTTATTCCACTGTGTACCAATATTGTGTGTTTCCCAGAGAAAAGGAACAGATGCAGCTGCCTGTCTATGACTGTAAAATTGCCTCCTGAGCTCTTTTATAGATTAAGCCACTGAATTTCCAATTGCTGTGTATTGAAATAATCCAGGCAGCTTTGAAAACTGGTTCTTAGGCCATTTGTATGGCCACATTAGGCTACCTTTGCTGTGAGGGCATTGGCTTTCCAGCACCTCTCCAGAGCTAGCTCAGTCCTTCCCAGCCTCTTCTACCTCTCTATTGTGATTGGGTCATTGGACCATTGAGATCAGCCCAACAGTATTTTTAAATATGATTATACAGTTCTTATTCTATGATAATGCTATAATGAATCTCATCTCTTCTAGACCAACTAAGAATGAATTAAAAAATAAAATTATGGTCATGGCTTGGTTTTACTCTTCAAGTATCTTTTAAAAATGTTTTAATTTACATGTGAATGTTTTTAGTCACAAGGGATCAATATTTATTGGCCTATAAATCTCTCTAAAGAGTTCATTTTTTTATTATTATTAAATCATTTAGTTTCTTCAGCAGTCAGTCATATTTCTTTTACAAAGTCTTTTACTTAAAAACCAATGTTGGGGGACTAGAGAGTTGACTCAGCAGTTAAGAGCACTGGCTGCTCTTCCAGAGGACCTGGATTCAATGTCCAGCTCACACATGGCAGCTCACACCCATCTGTAACTCCAGTTTCAGCAGATCTTACACACACACACAAGCAGGCAGAACACCAATATACATAAAAGAAAAATAAGTCATTAAAACAACAGAAATAAAACAACGTTGGAGCTGGGTGGCGGAGGTGCACGCCTTTAATCCTGGCACTTGGGAGGCAGAGGCAGGAGGATCTCTGTGAGTTCCAGGCCTGCCTGGTCTACAGAGTGAGTTTCAGGACAGCCAGGGCTATACAGAAAAGCAAAACCAACCAACCAAACAACCCAGTGTTGAGTGTTATTCCTTCAGGGTCTCTCCCGTCTGAGCCTGGAGGAAAGCTGACAGGGAATCACCTTCAGCTCTTTGTTAGCAGCAGGGTTGTCAGTGTCTCAGCTTTTCTGGTCCTTTTTCTTGCCCCTGATCTTGCCAGAGGTGGGAGATGGAGACATAACTAGGGAAGAGCGGTGGGATAGAAACAGCCAAATCCCCAGCAGTTAATTCCTTTAGACGTACCCTGTGGCATCCATACTTAGGCACTGACTAGTGTGTGTAGCCAGTTAGTGTCCAGAGGTGCTACTCTTTTAGACTTCTCGCTATGTGTGTGTGTGTGTGTGTGTGTGCGTGCGCGCGCGCGCGCGCGCGCATGTGTACACACATGTGAGTAATTGCCAGAGGACACCCTTGGCTATTGTTCCCCAGGTAATACCCATTTGTTATTTTGAGACATGGCCTTTCCTTGATCTGGAACTTAAAGAAAACTAGAATGGCTGGCCACCAAGCCAAGGAATCCACCTAATTCCCCTTCTTTAGCACTGAGATTGCAAATGCTGCCCGCCGGTCCACATATATGGACAGTCTTAAAGCTGAATAGGAAGTATTCATTGCTGGGCAGTGGCTGCATGGGAAACTTAACCAAATCATGCGGGTCAGAACCTCACAGTTCTTTGTCTTTCACGCAAAAAAACATATCCTGTTGGCATACTTCAGTGGGCAAGAAGCAGAACTAGAGAAGCTAAAAAACAAGGTTAAGGAACTTTCCTGGATCCTAAAACTATCTACCAGGCCTGTGATGGATCAGGTCTTTGTTCCTGTTTTGGCAAAGTTAGAATGGTGCCTCTAAGATGGCGTCAGTTGTGCTAAGGTCTGGGGACCTGTCACATAAGTATGCCTCACTGTGCTCTACTTTATTACTTATTTTAGACATAGTTTCTAGAGGCCATTCTGGTCTACAGAGTTTATTCCATCTGGGGCTACACAGAGAAACCCTGTCTTGAAAAAAACCAACACCAAAAAGAAAGAAGAAAAACATTCTGGAGAAATCGTGTTTTACACTAGAACATTTTGTTGAACAAGCAAGGTTTGTCAAGAGGCCTTGGGTAAAGAGCTGACAGGCACAGAGATGATGTGGGGATTATTGCTGTGTGCATGAACTTGACAGTGTCGTGAAACTGCAAGCCTTGATCTAGAACATTTACTGTTTGAAATTGGTTAATGTAAGTGTCAAGACCGCAAGCCTTCACAGCCGGAGACCACATCTGCATTTGCAGCCTGTGAATCTGTTGCTGTTGATTGTGAGCTGGCACCGACAGAACATGTCATGCCTCTTGGTACTGGTTCATAATTGCAATAACCCTAGTGTTCCAGAGACAAAAAAGGAGTGCTGAGAGCTGACATCGTTTACCCCAGCTCTATAGAAGGTACATTGTTTGGCGTCCAGGTGGAATCCAGCTCACTTGGGTAGTTAGATTCCATTTTCTTATGCACTTTCTATATTTGGGACAAAGGAAATCAAGATTCACTATGCAGTTGTGTCCAAGGTGATCAGCCTATCCTCCTGTTGAACAGCTTGAGCCGGCTTTTACAGTAACACCCTGCTGGGAGTGGACACTTTTTCTAACATCTCTCTGGCTGTTACCCACTGAGAAATTTAGCAGGGAATCGGAAGAGCAAAGCAACATAGAGACATACTGGACTTGTTTTCCATCGTGGTGTTGCCGTAGGTGTGGAGGATGAGGTGGCATTATTTTTGAGACTCCTGTGGGTGGTTCAACCCAAGGAACCAGGGACAGAATTTCACCATGACACTTGAAATCTGATTGCATGGGTTACGGGAAAATGTGACGAATGGAAATGCTTTCGCTGTCTACGTATTCATTCCTCAATTCCATCCTTACCTCATTTTACAATGTGTGTAGATGTCAGGGTTGGAGCGGTGGCTCAGTGGATAAGAGTGCTTGCTTTGCAGGGATGACAGCCCGAGTTCCGATCCCAGCACACATGCAGAAATCCATAGTAGCTGCGCATATGCCTCTAATTCCAGTGGGGGGGGGGGAGTGGTGGGAGACAGTGAGATCAAGAGGGCTTGCTGACTGCTGGCCAGGGCACAGGAGCGGTGAGAGACAGACCTTGTCACGGAAGAAGTCAGGGAGTGGGAGAGCAGGGCCTCTGTAGGTACACACTCACACGCATGTGCACAAACGCCACTCACACACACACGCCTGCACATACAAACATATCCTCATCTTAATGCATAGCACTCTGAAATTAGCTTAGGATTATGAAAATGGGGGCTACTTATATATTAAATAGTGTAGAGATCTGAGCAAACATTCCTCATACAGTTTATTCTTTGTTTTCAGAGTCACCTTCATTTTGCCCAGAATTTGCTACCACCACAGTTTTTTAAATTTTTCTTGACTTTTTTTTTTTTTAATTAAAATTATATATATATTTTTAAGTTTTAAAAACACAAAAGTAAAAAATGAACCAGGTTTTGGTTTGCTTTATCTTTCAATGGTCTTTGCTTTATGGCTCAAGTGAATGTGCTGTTTTTTTCGTAGACCTTTTGTTGTTGTTTTACCTGAGAAATTGTTCACAGACTAAAGCACAAACTTACTTGCATGTCTGAATAGAGGTAAAAAGAATTTTTACATTCAAAATATGCCTTCTTGAAAACAGGAGATTATTAAGGAAATGACAGGCCCGGGCCTATTAGAAGCATGAATTTAGACCTGAAGCAGCGTGACCCCCATATATGTTTATTTCTATACAGGTAGCAATTTAGAGTTTGGCTTTTTCCCTACAGAAGTCTGAATAGGTGTGTTGAAGTCTTTAGAACCTGCTACAGTGAAAGCTTGGTCCATTAATCATCATGAAGCAGAGTAGAGGGAATGGAAAACATTCACTGGTGTTTGAACAGAAGGGTCTAAGATGGCCGTGCAGCTTCTTACTGGGACCTTCTGGCCTTAGGTGATAGAAGTCCTGGCCCATGTGTGCCCTGAGCCCCGCCTCCACCCCCGTTTCTGGCACACACTGTCTTACCTTTAGCTAGTATCCCTTGCCTGGCACCTTGAGGTATGCCCGTCTCAGAGGCATGCCTTCTTCCCAGCTCCTTGGTTTTGTTGTTTCAGATTTTTCACTTTAGTTTAATTTTCTGCACTCCGTTTACGAATCAATCTGATGTTTGTTGCCTCCTCTGTGTATTGAGAGATATGTCTCTTTCTACAACTGTCTTTTTTTTTTTTTTAATACACATGTTTTTCAAAATAAACAGCCAATGCTTGTTTAGATTGTGGCTTCCAGTCAGGTTGTGGTAGCACACATCTGTCACTCTAGTACA